ATTCTTAAAGTCAGATTTGGAATTTTTCAGTCTGGTGTGAGGACTGAGATTTTGAATTTTTAACAATATCCTAGGTGATGCAAATGCTGCTGCTGATCTGTGGAACACACTTTTTACAGCCAGATTTTAGGAAATATAAAACAATGTGATCAAAAGTGGTAAGTTTTTTTTTTTTTGTCTTTTTGAGACAGGGTCTCCCTATACAGTTCAGGCCGTCCTTGAGCTCACTTTGTAGCCCAGGCTAGTCTCAAACTCACAAGGATCCTCCTGCCTCAGCCTCTCCAGTGCTGGGATTACAGGCATGCACCACCACGCTTGGCCGGTATTTGCTTCTTTATCTAAAGTACTCTTGTCATAATCAGATGATATTTGAGTTACAGACTCAAATGGCAAGAAAAAAATTTATCATGTACAAATCTACAGGAAAGATGTTCAAGACAGGGAAAAGCAAGTGCACAAGCCCAGAAAAAAAATTCTAGCATTTTCTAGAAACAGAAAGATCATGGCCCTCTAAAGTACACAAATGTTCCTTCCAAATTTAGGTGTAATTCACGAAAAGAGCACTGAAAAAGTTTGGAAAGCTAGGCTTAGCTTCCATCCCAATAGCCCATTAGTTGTTTTTCGTCAAGCCACAATCTATCTCAAAGTGTTCCCTCATAAATACGGGAATATTTATAAATAATACGTATTCTCCAGGGCTGGTATGAGGAGTAAATAAGATTAGATATGTAAGAAGCACTTTTTTTTTTGTCTTTTAGAGACAGGGTCTCGCTATGCAGTTCAGGCTGGTTTTGAGGTCACTTTGTAGCCCAGGCTGGCCTCGAACTCACAGAGATCCTCTTGCCTCAGCCTCCTGAGTGCTGGGATTACGGGTGTGCGCCGGCACGCCCGGCTAAGAAGCACTTTTAAAATTGCAAAATATTATCCACATTCACATATAATTATTGCAGACATAAAGTGTTTCCCTGTGATCTGCGGTGGCAGCAGCTATTTATAGCAGTTCTCTGTCTCTTTAATTACATCTGGCCATTCTAGGAAAAGAGCAAAAGACACTGCTACTCCCTTCTTCTAAGTTGTGTAAGAAAAACAAAGTCCAGTCCCAGGGGGTTAAAAAAAAAAAAAAAAAAAAAAAAAAAAGAAGAAGAAGGTATTCGAAAGGCCCAAATCATCAGATACAAGCTATTTCCGGCGTCAGCCGGGAGAGGCCGAGGGGGGCGGGGGGATGAGTGAGGGCACCGCGTTCAGTCAGCCGCTGTCCCACAATCCCCTTCTCCTGTTCCTCTTTCCTCGCTCAAGATGGCGCTGCTCGCGATACCTTCTTGGCGTTGGGCGGCCGCCGCGGCTGCTTTCGAAAAGCGCCGGCACTCAGCGGTTCTGTTCCGGCCTCTGGTCACTGTGCTCGGCTCGCGCCCGCAGTGGCAGTTACATCTGCGCGGCGCCTCGGGAACGGCTCGCAACCGCCCGGTGAGACGCGGGTCACATGGAATAGGCGGGTGAAGGACAAGGGGACCTAGTAGGGAAAGCGCTGCCCTCCTGACCCCGCGTCAGCGCGAGCCCGTGGAAAAGAGTGTGTGGGCTCACTCCGAGCTGCTGTTAAGAGAAGGAAAAGAGGGTTAGTGATTGGAGGAAGAGTGGGAGAAACCCTGTGGGCACAGCGGAGGAGCGGAGGGGCAGGTTTACGCGGCTTCTGGAGCGCCGAAGTCGCTCAGTTCGGTTTTGTTTTGTTTTGTTTGTTTTCCCGCGATGTTAAGAGATGGGGCGGGCAACATTCCCAGCCTGCTTCTATTTCTGAATGTAAAGAAGACTGGGCTACTTTCCAAAGTTAGTAATGGGATGTGACACTAAATTGCCTGTGGTTCAGAGTTTAGTCGCAAGTAGCATTTTGGAGGGCGCTGTAAGATGACAAGAAGTCACCTGTAAACAGGCGAATTGAATTGGCAGCAATAAACTCCCTTGCTGACGGGCGTGCTCCTTGATACACGAAAACCGTAATTATCTTTCTCTCCAAAACGTACACTGCCCGAGGTTTATATATAAATACGATTATCCTTTGAGCTGAATATTCAGTAGTGTTATGTGTGCGCAGGTCATTTTGGAAGTTGGAAGAATACTTTTCCTTAGCTTCTGAATATAGCAGTGCTTATAACACGTTTTAATGTTGCCTCCATTATTAGCTCTCACTCAAGAACAGTTTTTGAAAAAGTTTCTCGACTTGGTGTACTTCAGTATATACTTTTTATTTCCCATATATTGAAAGAAAATTTAGTTGCCACCACTTCTTCAGTATTACTTTGAAGTACAGTATTGTGAGCTTTGAGAAATAATCTCTTAAATTTTTATTTTTTGTCAACATTTAATGTCTGCTACTGTGCACATAAGCACTGTGCTAGATAATAAGATAGCAAAAGAAACACAGTCATGCCTTCAAGAATTTTGTAGTTTTTAAAATTTAAAAGTTTTAACTGAAATGGTATGTATTTATGGGGTATAGTTAATATTTCAGTAAATGTATAATTTGTAATAATCATGTTAGGGTAATTCGTATATCCATCTCCCCAAACATTTGCCGTTACTATATAGCATAATATTGCAGAACTGAAAGAAATGTTAGTGTACTGTTAGGAAACCATATTAATGGTGTAGATCAGTATGTTTTCTTAGATGAGAGTCAGTAGAATAGAAATAGCACTTATTACATATTAAAAAGGAATATTTCATAAACTTATATATACATACTCTCACGTAGATACAATTTCTGGGAGGCATTGTGAAGTGAATTCTTTACACAGCATAGTACCCTAAAACTGTACTGTGCAATACAATGTGCTTATTAAAATTAAAAGACAGCTGGGCATGGTGGTGCACACCTATAATTCCTGCAATTGGAGGCTGAGGCAGGAGGATTGCTGAGAGTTTGAGGCCAGCTTGAACTACATAGTGAACTCAAAGACAGCCTGAACTATCTGGCAAGACCCTGTCTCAAAAAAAAAAAATTGAAGGACACCTGCCACTTTGTTAGTTACTATTAAAAGGATTTATGGACTTTGAAAGATATAATTTTGTATTTATTTCATTAATAGTTAAATGGTAGAAACTGAGGCATTGGGGCTGGGGATTTAGCTCAGCGGCAAAGCGCCTGCCTGGCAAGCGGAAGGTCGTGAGTTCGGTTCCTGGTACCGGAGAAAAACCAAAAAAAAAGGAATAAAAAAAAGAAACTGAGGCATTATAGTTTTTCCTCAGCTTTTTACCTGAGTTTAAGGAGTCCTTGACTATATTTATCATGATACTATTCATACACTTTTCTAATTTTTAAAAAATCTTTATGAAAATTTTTAAACATCGTATGACACAATTCGTCCATTTAAATCGTGCAGTTCAATAGAGTTTAGTATTTCCAGTGATGTGTCACACCATTGGCGCAATCAATTTTACACTTCTGTCACCTTTTGGCTGTCACTTTTTTATATCCTTCTCTCTCCCCCAGGCCTAAGTAACCATCAGTTTATCTTCATTCTGTTTTTTTTTTCCTCTGTGTGTGTGTGTGTGTGTGTGTGTGTGTGTGTGTGTCTTTTTGAGACAGGGTCTCACTATGCAGTTCAGGCTGGCTTTCAGCTCACTTTGTAGTCCAGGCTGGTCTTGAACTCCCAACGATCCTCCTGCCTCAGCCTCCCGAGTGCAGGGATTACAGACGTGCGCCACCACACCTGGCCTCATTCTGCATATATTTGTTCTGGACACTTCATATGAATGCATTTATGTAATATGCTATCTTTTGTGATGGGCTTTTTTCACTTAGCACTATATATTCGAGGTTTGTTCATATTATGGCATGTATAAGTATTTTATTCCTTAGTAGGACCAAATAATGGTCTGTGTATGAGTACAGTATAAAAGATTTTCTTTATACATTCATCAGTTGATGGTGAGTTGGGTTTTTTTCCCCTTTTGGTTCATATGGATAATGCTGTTACAATTATTTTTTTTTGGTCTTTTTGAGACAGGATCTAGCTCTCTAGTTCAGGCTGGCCTTGTGCTCACTCTGTAGCCCAGGCTTGTCTCGAACTCACAATGATCCTCCTGCCTCAGCCTCTGGAGTTCTGGATTACAGGCATGCGCCACCATGCCTGGTTCTTTTCCAAATATTAATATCTATGTTTTTGTGTGGACATAAGTCTGTCTTTATTTCTTTTTTTTCAAACAGGGTCTTGCTATGTAGTCCAGGCTGACCTTAAACTTGTGGTGGTCCTCCTGCCTGAGCCTTCTGAGTGCAGAGATTATATGTGTGCACCACTATACCTGGCTTTTTAATTTATTTTAGGTATACATACTTTGTACTTCCATAAGTGTAGAATTGCCAAATCATATGGTAACTTCATGTTTACTTGTTGAAGAAACTGCCAGACTGGTCTTCAGAGTGGCTGCATGCCTTACTACCAGAAGTGCATGAGAGTTTCAATTTCTCATTGACACTTGACCTGATTTTGATTCTTGCCATCGTAGATACTGGGTGTGAAATGGTACTGCATCTTGGTTTTGATTTGTGTTTACTTAATGACTAAAGGTATTGTGTATCTTACCATGTGTTTATTGACCATTTGTATATATTTTTTGGAGAAATGTCTGTTCCTACCCTTTGCCTATTTTTAAATTGGATTATTGGGTGGGGGTTATAGCTCAGCAGCACAGCACCTGCTGTGCAAGCATGAGGTCATGAGTTCAATTTCCAGTATCAAAAAGAAAAAAAAAACATTGGATTATTGGATTTTTGCTTTTTGGTGCTTGGAATTTAACAAAACATGAGCTCTGTTACTGAGCTATACATCTCACCTCAGGGTTTTAAAATTTTTACTGATTTTAGTGATTTGTAAAGGTTCTTTATATATGTTGGGACATGTCCCTTATCAAATAGATAATTTGCAAATGTTCTCTCATTGTATGGGTTATCTGTTTAGTTTCATGATAGTGTCCTTTGAAGCATGAAAGTTTTTCATTTTAGTTGGGATATGTAATGGTAAAGCTGCAAGGCCCTAGGCTAGTATCAGAAGTTTCTTTTTTTTGCTTGTATTTTTTTGCCTTTTGAGACAGGTTCTCAGTTGCAGTTCAGGCTGGCCTTGAACTCACTTTGTAGCCCAGGCTGGCCTCGAACTCCCAATGATCCTCCTGCGTCAGCCTTCCCAGTGCTGGGATTACATGGATGGGTGTGCCACTGTGCCCGGCTCTCTTTTTTTTTTTGGCTAAAGTAAAATTTACCAATTTTTCTTTTGTTGCTCATACTTTTCGTTTTTTATGTAAGAACCTGTTGCCAAATCTGAAATCATAAGGATTTATCCATATTTTTTCTAAGACTTTTAAAACTTCATTCTAATGAAATAATATAAACATTACTCACATATAGTTCTATTCCCTCTTTTTGTTGTTTTATTTTTACATATCACCAAGTGTCACAAATCCAACAATACCTTATCATGATTAATAATTCATATAGTGTCTTTCAAAGAAGTTGAGAGAAGAAGCCTGGCATGGTGGTGCATGCCTGTTATCCCAGCTCTCTGGGAGGCTGAGGCAGGAGGATCATTGTGAGTTTAAGACCAGCCTGGGCTGCAAAGTGAGCTCAAGGCCAGCCTGAAGTGCATAATGAGACCCTGTCTCAAAAAGACAAAAAAAAAAAAAAGAAGTTGCGAGAAAAAAAGAAGTTATATAACTTTTGTTACATTAACTTTATCACTTTTGGTAAAGGTATCTATCTGGAATTACTTCCTTACTCTGACACAGCTGTTCTACCCATCTCCCTTTGATGTCATCTGCAAATATATTTTATCTCTATATGTCATAGTATAAAAGTATATTATATACATATGTAATATGGATATAGTTTTTTTTTTGTCTTTTTGAGGCAGGATCTCGCTATGCAGTTCCAGCTGTTCTTGAGCTCACTTTGTAGCTCAGGCTGGCCTCGAATTTGCAGTGAGCCTCCTGCCTCAGCCTCCCGAGTGCTGGGATTACAGGCATGCGCTACCATGCTCGGCAGGATATAGTTATTTTAAATAATTGCCACTCAAATCAGTTCAAAGAAGAAAGTAAGAAAAACATTTATATTGTCTTGTGTAATTACTTTGTTAGCTTTTCCATTGCTCTTTGTTTTTTCTGTGTGGATTTAAATTACAATTTTGGCGTCACTTGCTTTCAGCCCTAAGAACTTCATTTAGTTATTTCTTATGAGGTAGCTGTTCTAGCAATAAATTCTCCAAGTTTTTGTTTGGGAATGTCTTTATTTCACTTTCATTTTACAACCGTATTTTTGCTGTATATAAGATTTTTACTTGACAGTTTTTTTTCTTTGAGCATTTTTGAAACGTAACCCGTTAGTTTCTGGCCTTGCTCATTTGTTCTTTCCATCCTTCCATCCCTCCCTTCGTCCCTCCATCTTCTCCCCTGCACTGTCTTTCCCTCCTGCTATCCTGCCC